AAATTTTAAATAGAAAACCTACTCTTCATGTAGCAATGGTTTGCTACTCTGTGTTTTGGTGTTCATGATTTAAGAGAGTTTTTGTTTTTAAATGGCAACTAGGCAGGTGAGGTATTGCAGGTGTTTGATCTTAGCACCCAGGAGGCAGAGGCATGCAGATCTCTCTGAGTTGAAGACCAGCCTCATCTATACAATGAATGCCGAGACAGCCAGGCCTCCATACAGAGACCCTGTGTCTTTGTCACTTTTCAGTGGCTGTAACAAAACACCATGACCAAGGCCACCGGGAAATGATTTGATTTTGGCCTCGTGGCTCTTGAGGGTTAGTGTCCATGACCACCATGTTGGAGAGCACAGCATCATGTAGGCTGCCATGGTGTTAAGACGGTAGCTGAGTGCTTCCATCTTGATCCACAAGCACGAGGCAGAGAGAACTAACTGGGAATGATGTAGATTTTTGAAGCTTCAAAATAATACACCTCCTTCAATAAAACCACACCTCTTAATTCTTCCTAAACAGTTCCACCAACCAGGTATTGCGCAGTCAAACGCGCCTATGGAGGGGGCGGTGTTCTCATTCAAACAGCAAATAAAACAATAAAAATAACAGCTGTAGTCTTAAAGCTACTCTGGGTTAAGTAGCCCTTTCTTCGTATACTTGGAACCAGAAGCAGTCAGATTTTGATTGTTTTCAAATGTTTGAGAATTTGCATATACATAACAAGGCGTCTTTGAGGTAAGACTTTTGCCTAAAAGTAAAATCTGTTTATCTGATCATATACATCTTATAATATGGTCTGAAGGAGATGCTAGTCAGACGTTTCAGTGACTGTTAGCTGCAAGCCACATCAGGTGTGGAGTCCCCACTTGTAGTACAGCATTAGTGCTTCAACAGCTTCAGGCTGGGGAGTAAAGATTTTGGAGCTGTGGATTAGGGACGTTAAATCCATATTGTAGTAATTGTGGTTTGTTTTTGAAAAAATTTAGAAATAAGTGAAGCAACTTTCAGGGAATGAAGCCGTCCATGTTTTTTACTTTGTGTCTTTTCATCTCAGTTAACCAAATCAACACAACCCCCCCACACACCTCAGAGACTACACAGCCCCTCACACACCTCAGAGACTACACAGCCCTCACACTCCTCAGAGACTACACAGCCCCTCACACACCTAGAGGCTAGACATTCCCTCATAGGTGTGTCTGGAGGTTTGCCTCCAATGTGATTTCAGATCCTGTCAAAAAGACATTGAGACTAACCTTTTATCACACCAGGCCTGGCACAAGGTACCACTTGCATCTTCAGCATCTCTCAAACAAAAGGTCACAGGTGTGTGTCTAGCCTTGTGTTGGGTTGCATTTAGAGTTCTCTTTATGAACCCTGAAAACTTCATGGTTAATGGTCTGGAGTAGCCCATGTTGACCTGTTTGTTCTATTGCTATTGGTTTGGTAGAGAGGCCTTTATTATGTCCATTTACATAAATGACAAATATTTTGTCTTTTGACCAGGCTAGGTTTTTGTTTGTTTGTTTTGTTTTGAAATATAGTCTGAGCCGGGCGGTGGTGGCGCACGCCTTTAATCCCAGCACTCGGGAGGCAGAGGCAGGCGGATCTCTGTGAGTTCGAGACCAGCCTGGTCTACAAGAGCTAGTTCCAGGACAGGCTCCAAAACCACAGAGAAACCCTGTCTCGAAAAACCAAATATATATATAGTCTGCTTTCAGGCTGTCCTGGAGAACTCAAGGACACCTCCACCTCCACCCCTGCCCTCTGGGAGCTGAGGTCACAGGTGTGTGCCACCATCCTTGACCCTCCACCCCTGACCTCTGGGAGCTGAGGTCACAGGTGTGTGCCACCATCCTTGACCCTCCACCCCTGCCCTCTGGAGCTGAGGTTACAGGTGTGTGCCACCATCCTTGACCCTCTACCTCCACCCCTGCCCTCTGGAGCTGAGGTTACAGGTGTGTGCCACCATCCTTGACCCTCTACCTCCACCCCTGCCCTCTGGAGCTGAGGTTACAGGTGTGTGCCGCCATCCTTGACCCTCCACCTCCACCCCTGCCCTCTGGAGCTGAGGTTACAGGTGTGTGCCGCCATCCTTACTAGCACAGAGCTAGTTTTTGCTGTAGATCCTGTCCTGAGATTGGTATCTTGATTTAATACAGTTCTGTTTGTAATCCTCCTGACTCTTCAGTGAGGCCACTGCACATGCCCCAGAAACATGAACGCGCAGCATGGCGTGTGGAAGTGGGGTTGGCAGCAGCCTCTGCTGCCGGCTGCATTGCGGCTGATTTCGTCCATCGGGTTGGTGAGTCTTATATGTCATGTGTCATGATTTGATCATGTAGAGAGCAAAAAATACTGACATCCAGCAGAGTGTGGCTTTGGGTTGACCAGTCAGTGAACTGGACCATGTCCCATGGGGGAACCTCCTTTGGGAAAGGCCTTCAATTTATAATAGTAGGAAGGGACCTTCTACTTGTGGAGTTTCTGTGAACTAAGTGCTTTCTGACTCTGGATCCCCAAGTAGGCGTGCTCCTGCGTACTGTGTTGATTTAATGACAGAAGTCAATGACAGTTAGAACTGACCCACTAAAGAGCAGATTAGGTCTGGGCAGCGCTGATAACTCACAGAGGATGTTTTCTATCCCTATTAATGTCCAGTGGCAGGCCAATAGGCATTTGATTAGTGCTACCAGGAGTGGCGCCCACCCAGTGCCGTGGTACCCTCTCCCTGATATCAGCTGCAGTTGGTATGGGTAAACGTTGTCGAGATTTTCAGTGTAAAAGAACCAAGGAGGGCTGAGGATGCAGCACAGCTATAGAGTGACCAGACATAAAGCCCTGGTCCAGCCCAGCGCTGAGCAAAATTGGGGATGGTGGCACACGCTTGGGGATGGTGGCACACGCTTGGGGATGGTGGCACACGCTTGGGGATGGTGGCACACGCTTGGGGATGGTAGCACATGCTTGACGATGGTGGCACATGCTTGGGGATGGTAGCACACGCTTGACGATGGTGGCACACTCTTGGGGATGGTGGCACACGCTTGGGGATGGTGGCATACGCTTGGGGATGGTGGCACACACTTGGGGATGGTGGCACACGCTTGGGGATGGTGGTACACGCTTGGGGATGGTGGCACACGCTTGGGGATGGTGGCACACTCTTGGGGATGGTGGCACACGCTTGGGGATGGTGGCATACGCTTGGGGATGGTGGCACACACTTGGGGATGGTGGCACACGCTTGGGGATGGTGGCACACGCTTGGGGATGGTGGTACACGCTTGGGGATGGTGGCACACGATTGGGGATGGTGGCACACGCTTGGGGATGGTGGCACACGCTTGGGGATGGTGGCACACGCTTGGGGATGGTGGCACACGCTTGGCTACACATTGAATCTGAGTTGAGCCTGGGCTCTGTGTGATGAGACACTGTCTCAAAAGTAAATGAATAAAACTGAGGACCTCCAAGAACTGCACAGGCAGGATGTCATGTTTTTCCATGGTTCTTCCTTTACGTGGGCTAACACAGTTAAGACAGTGTCCATGTAGCTTGGAATAGCCTTGGACTGAACTCATTATGCCTTGGAGGCTGCTGTTGGACACCTGACACTCCTTCCACAACCTTCCAATTGCTGAGGATTTTAGATGTGTGCCACCACACTTATCTGTGCCACAGAACACAGCTGTGCACCACCACACACAGCTGTATAGCAATACCCAGCTGTGCAGCAACACATCCAGCCCAGCTGTACACCGCACACAGCTGTGCAGCACCACACACAGCTGTGCACCATACCCAGCTGTGCACCACCACACACAGCTGTGCACCAACACCCAGCTGTGCACCACCACGCACAGCTGTGCACCACCATGCACAGCTGTGCATCACACAGCTGTGCACCACCACACACAGCTGCGCACCCACCACACACAGCTGTGTACCATGCACAGCTGTGCACCACACACAGCTGTGCACCACCACATACAGCTGTGCACCACCACATACAGCTGTGCACCACCACATACAGCTGTGCACCAACACCCAGCTGTGCACCACCACGCACAGCTGTGCACCACACAGCTGTGCACCACCACACACAGCTGTGCACCAATACCCAGCTGTGCACCACCACACACAACTGTGCACCATACCCAGCTGTGCACCACCACACACAGCTGTGCAACAACACCCAGCTGTGCACCACCACGCACAGCTGTGCACCACACAGCTGTGCACCACCACACACAGCTGTGCACCACCACACACAGCTGTGCACCTCTTCCTTTGAGTTTCATTTAACAGAGAGAAGGCAAGCAGAGGAAGAAAAATGCCCAGCACTGGAATGTGCTATCGTCCATGGCCAGGGAGCCTCTTAGGTGCTTTCATCTTGGAGCTTAGGAGCTTGTTGACCATGGATGTTTCCTTAATCTTACTTGGCTTGTTATAGCATGCTCTGACCTAAATTCTTTTCAAAAGTTATTCACTGGGCTGGCCCTGACTTTTATCAGATCTAGCCAGTTGAGATCACTGCCTGGAACACGTTGTTCCTCAAATCATGTCTTTATCTGAGCCAGCCACAGAGACATCGTTCATGTTGTTCATACAGAGGACCCATGTTGGAAGCTCATTCTTCCTATGGTTCCACCCACCCCAAAGAGGGCAGCTCAATTGTCTCACTGCTTCCTGAGCCACATGAAGGCAAATTAACCTTTGCCAATTCTCCTTAAGGAAATGGAGCATGAAGCACTGGCTAGTCAGTGGCCACCTGCCAAATCCCATTCTGTTTGCACACACATCTAAAGGCCTGGGTGAAGAGGAGCCGTAGAAGTGAGGTGAGTTGGTCCTGGTGAGCTGTAACTTTCAACACATCCCTGTACCGCAGAGCAGACTTTTCAAGATGACTCGGTGTCAAGAGTCCTTACTTCTCTTTCAGAGGCCCAGGGCAATTCCCAGAACCCACGTTGGCTGGCTGACAACTACCTGTATCTCCAACTCTAGGTGGATCTGACACCCTCTTCTGACTTTCATGAGCACCCTTACAAACAGGTACCCACACACATATACACAAATAAAAACACTCATATAGACGTTATATTATATATTATTGAGTATATATACTTCATATATGTGTGTGTTCACATATGTGTGTGTGTCCAGGTATACATATATACTCAAGTATATACGCACATATATGAAGGAAAACTGGGAAGTAGCGGTAACAAGACCCCACCTCCATGGGTTCTTAACAAAGTAATCTTCCTTCTGAAAGTGAACTGTGGTATGGACTTCCTGCGACATGGGCAGTTTGGGTGATTCTTAAAAGGAACTACACCTGTGATGACCTAAACAGAGCCACACCTCGGATGCACCAGGACTAGGTATGTTCTGCGTACGGGGGGCTCTGCCTGCTTCAAGTGCCAAGGGAACTGGTTATGCAATATGTCAGCATGGATTCTGAGTTCCTGAGGCTCCCCTCAACTATGTATGATCCACAGTAGCATAACTTGAACACCAAGATAGCCAAACATTTGCACACCACATCTTTATGCTGCTACCCAATTATACTGGGATGCAGGTCATTGGTCCCCAGTGAGGGTCCAAGCCTCAGTCTACCCCTAGCCTGTCTCCTTAAAAGAGAATGGGCAGGGCAGAAATGATGGAATTGGTTTTTCTCGTGACAGTAGCATGTGTCTTTGCCTTTGTGTCCCCAGGATGGATGGGGGAGGGGGTAGAGACCTGTCATCAAGGTTGTCAAAGGACCTACCTGCTCCTCGAGTGCACCTCACTAAGACTTTTACCTTCACTGTGAGGCAGTTCCTCAGTTCAGCTTAGGACCCCCAGTTGTGGGGAAATCCTGCTATTGAGGACCCTTGTATGATTACCACAGGCACAAATTCCTCCAAGGGATGCAGGACTAGTCTGGGATCTTTTGAGCGGCATTCTTCTCCTTTTTTATTGTTTTTATTGAGCTATTCATTTTTCTCTACTCCCCTCCCTTTTTCTCCCCTTCCCTTATACTCTCTCCCATGATCCATGCTCCCAACTTACTCGAGAGATCTTTTCCTACTTCCCGTGTAGATTAGATCTATGTATGTCTCTCTTAGGGTCTTCATTGTTGTCTAGGTTCTCTGGGATTGTGAATTGTAGGCTGGTTTTCTTTGCTTTATGTCTAAAAGCCACTTATGGCTTTTAGTACAAGTAATAAAAGCCCAGAGACAGAAATTGTTTGTTTGAGACAGGATCAACCTGAAGGTTAGAAAAGCAAAATGGCCGGCCACTGGCTCTTATCTCTACCTCAGTCAGGAATGGTGATCCTGTCTCCCGGAATCTCAGAATGAGACTGTGTGTGAGAGATGTCTCCTCCCATCTCATATTCTTCTCTAGTGCTGGGATTAAAGGCGTGCACTACTACAACCGCCTGGTTTCCATGACAAACTAGTGTGGCTACTGGGATTAAAGGTGTGTGTCACCACTTCCTGGTCTGTAAGGCTGATCAGTGCAGCTGTTTTTACTCTCTGAACTTCAGGCAAACTTTATTTATTAAAATGTGAAAGCCGTATTATTCTTACTGTGTGTATGTAAGTGTGCACGCTTTGGCACGTGTGTGGAGGTCAGAGGACAACCTCTGGTGTCGGCTCTCATCTTCCTTGTTTGAGACAGGGTATCCTGTGATTTACTGCATATCAATAATACCATAGAAACACTGGTATTACAGAGAGTGTTACCTGCTTTATGTGGATTCTGGGTATTTGAAAGGGCTTCATACTTGTGTGGCAAATACCTTATCAATTGGTATCAATTATCAAGGATATCTCCAGATATCCTTGTCCTTCTTTATAGAAATAATTATTAGTTTCGTTTCCTATGTGTTTGCATGTCTATGTACCATGTGCATGCTCAGAGCCAGCACAGGCCAGAAGAGAGCACTGGATCACATGGAACTCGAGTTGTGGGACACCATGTGGGGCTTGGGAATAGAACCTGGGTCCTCTGGAAGAGCAGCCAGTGCTCTTAGTTGCTGAACTGCTGAGTCATATCTCCAGTTCTCAACACACACACACACACACACACACACACACACACACACACATCTTTTCTTAGAAAATGAGACAAGGGTGAATGTATACTGTGCTGACAATTCAACTTGTTATGTAGCTAAGAAGACCTGAACTTTTGATCCTCCTGCCTCTACTTCCTAAGTGTTGGGGTGACAGGTGATGGAGGTCACACCGAGTGCTCTTGTGGGTTCCATGGCCAGCCTTTGGTCATCTCTAGGCTGCCTCGCTTCCCAGCAGAGAGTATAGATGAGAACGTTCTCTGTACACCAGGGAAACACTGAAATGAGACAAGGGCTTGTCATTCTCTTTCCAAGAATGGCTCCAATGTCCTCCAGAGTGGAGACATGAGTGCGTCCTGCGAAAAAGGAAGACTCTTTTCATCTGGGTTGTGTATGTGTGTGTGGGGGGGGTGTAGCGGGGATAATCACCTAAATATTTCAAGTCCAGATCCAAAATCCCCAGAGTACTTTGAGAAGATCGCCTCCATTTTTTCTCAAACTGATGGTCTGAGGCCATTAATCCCAGCACCGTTCCTTGGGTAAATTCCTTAGAATTTCCGAGTTTAATTTCTCATGGAGACATAGAGACCCCAGTAGCAGAGCATTTGAGATTCGATTTAAAATTAAATGTGTTGTGCATAAGGTTTATCAAGGCCGGTGTGGAAGGGAAGCCTCTCTCACTGCTGGAGAAACGGTAGGGAAGGGGAGTATTTGTGATTTCCACTTCAGAAGTGATTGCCTCCAGGACACACGCATCAAGATGGCTATGAAGCTGCTCCAGTTTCTGGATTAGCAGTTCATCGTTTTCCTGCACGCAGCAGCTCTGGTTCTGTCCCTTCTGTTGGAAGACGTGCTTCACATCTAAATGTGGCTGCAGCCTTGTTTACATTTCTCTGAGACTTCCCCTCAGATCCAAAGATGACTGAGAGGCAATGATAGCGTCCGCGTCATATCTGCTCAGCTCTTCCGTTCTCCTATCTCTCAACAGCACGAAAGGTGACCCTGGTAGAAATGCAAAACAAAGTCGTAAGTCATCATTGGAGGCCCTGGTGATAAACCTTCCCTATCTTAATTCAGGGCCATTTCTGCATGTCAGGCTGGGAGATTGCACAAGGTTTCTTTTACCCAGAGCAGCCTTTGTTCTGATTGGTGACCATGAAAACATACATGATTCATTCCACTGACAATATGTGACCCTGAAATCTCCCCTGGAGAGACCAGAAGGGCCACTGCTGTGGCATTCAGTTTCCTTTCTTTTCTTTTACTTTCCTCTTTCTTCCTTCCTTCCTTCCTTCCTTCCTTTTTTTTCATCTTCCTTCCTTCCTTCTTTCCTTTCTTCCTTTCTTTCTTAATTTTTTTTGTTATGTATCCAGTGTTCTGCCTGCATGAAGAAAGCTCCAGATCTCACTGTGAGCCATCATGTGGGTGCTGGGAGTTGAACTCAGACCTCAGGAAAAGCAGCCAGTGCTCTTAACTGCTGAGCCATCTCTCCAGTCCCCGATGCTCAGTTTTCCAACTGCAGCTTCACCTTTCCCAGACTGCTTCTGTGTATTTAACTTCTGAATACCTTTTTCAAAACATGTAGGGGTGGGGGTGCACAGATGAGTGAATTCTGGGGATTTGCTGGCCAGTTGCGTTAGTCAAATTATTGAATTCCATGTTCAGTGAGAGACCTTATCTCAAAATCTGTATCAAAAATGAAAAGGAGGAGGGCAATAGAAGAAGGCACGTGATGTCGAACTCTAGACTCCAAGGGCAGAGCATCTGCACACACACACACACACAATATGCATAATAGTTTATTAGGGTTTTTTTGGTGTTGTGAACATATTGTCCTGATTTGCTTTCTAGTGCTGTGAGAAACACCATGGACTAGCTGAGAAAGGAGTGACCTCAGAGTAGAATTGCTCTGGAGACTACAGAAGAGCGCTGCTCACTAGCTTGCTCCTCGTGGCTGCTTTCTTATACAGCCCAGGAGCCATTTGACTAGGGCTGGAACTACCTACGACTATCTGGGTGCTTCCACATCAGTCATAAACTGAGAAATGACACCCTCAAGACTTGCCTACAGGCCCATCGGATAGAAGCGTTTTTTGCAGTTGAGGGTCTCTCTTCCCACATGACCATAACTGGTGTCAAGTTGACAGTAAACTAACAACACAGCATTGTGTATCAGAAACATGACCTGGAAAGTTTGTGTCTTTTGACAATCGCAGCATTTATTAAAGATCAGTAAATTAACAAGCTACGTTAACTTTATTGGCTGCAGTTTACCACGTTTTCCCTTTTTCCCTTGATAGCTGGCTGAAGCAAATAGAGTTTCATTACTACAGCCTTAATTACTACATGCCAGAGCACACCTGGAGGTCATAGGACAACTTTCAGTTCTACCATGGGGGAGGAGCCTGGGAACTTAGCTGAGTCAGCAAATGTCTTTACCCACTGACTATATTGCTGTCCCTAGGTGCCTCAATTACTAAGAAGAGGTCTCAGAAAAATGCACCATGCACCACAGAGTAAAACCTGTGTATCTGTGCATTGCAGAAGAACAAGTAAAGGGTAGAGATGCTGGGCCTTGCTGAGCTGAGCAGAGCTGGGCAGATGTAAGCCAGCACCGTAGTGGCTAGATCAGGGTTCTTTTTTCTATCTTTTAAGCTACTAAGAACTAGTGCAGAGTGTCCATATATTTTTCTTTTTTGTGTTTTAATTAAAAATAAATTATGTTTGTCTGTGTGTTTCTGTTTGTGAGTGTGTGTGCCTGGGAGTGCAGACCCACCTGAAGGCCAGAAGAGGGCGCTGGGTCGCCGGAGCTGGAGTTCCAGGCTGCTGGGGCCACCTGATGCAGGTCCTGGGAACTGAACTTCCTCTGCTGGAGCAGCACACGCCCTTAACAACCAGGCCACCTCTCCAGCAGCGTTATCTTAAAATGTTAATATATCTTCAATTTTGCACTCATTTAAACCTCTTAGGAAATATTTTAAGGTGTCAATTAAAATGTGTGAGGCAGTGTATTGCTTTATAAAATTCTTTTAAGGGTTCAACAAACAGACTTTTGTTGTTGTTGTTGTTTTATGTTTGAGACAGGGTCTCATTATGTATGTATCTCTGATTGCCCTGGAACTCACTCTGTAGACCAGGCTGTCCTCGAACTCACAGAGATCCGCCTGCCTCTGCCTCCTGGGTGCTGGGATTAAAGGCATGCGCCACCATGACTTGCTAAGTAGAATGGTTTTAAAGCAGGATGACTAAGTCTTCTGATCTGCAGTTATTGGCTCCACTTCTCAGTTCTTTATTGTCATGGATTAAAGGAAATGACAAAGTATTTGTTTTACATTAACAGCAGTAAAGGCCAATGAGATACACTGTTTATTTTCAACAAAATATTTGCATATCTTAGAGTAAATAATTAATTTAAAAACTATTTTCAATGTTGCATGTGTGTGTGTGTGCCTGTGTGTGCCTATGTGTGTCTATGTGCACATGAATGCAGTACCATTGGTGGCCAGAAGAGGGCATCAGATCCCCCTGGAGTTGAAGTTACAGACAGTTGTGACCCACCCAACATGCATTCTAGCGAATGAACTTGGGGCCTTTCCAAGGGCAGAACACGCTCTTAATTACCAAGCCATTTCTCCACCACCATGTTCCCATTTAAATAGACTTTATTTTATGTGTATAAATGTGTGTGTCTTTGTGTATGTGCACATGTGGGCAGCAAGACAATTCCATATTTGCATCCTGGAAGAGAGACTAATGGAAGCTAAGAGGGAAGACCCTAGAGAATCAGTGGGGGAATCTGTGTGGATCCGAGGCTGGAGCGCCTGCCCAAGTCTACTGAGCTGTGAAACCGTTCCAGTCCTTTGCTAGTCTGTGTTGTTTCCTCTCAGCCTATTTTTTCCCTTACAGTTGATTTGCCAAAGCCAAACCTGACTTCTCCATTGTCAACAGGAACTAAAGGACAAGGGCTGTCCTGGGAAAGGCTGCAAAACAGGAAGCCTGGCTCTTCCTCAGTGGAGACTCCAGCATGTCCCTCACAGCGTAACTCAGACCTGCAGGCCCGCTTGACTTCAACTGAAATCGAAATTAAAACAAACTGCCCAAGCTCTCATTTACTTTCCAAGCTAACCCTTTCTTAAACAGTCTTGATACAATGGGGTTTTCTTCAGCCATAAAGAAAAATGGTATTATATTGTTTGAAGAAAATGGAAGGTTCTGGAGATTATCATGTTTTGGATAATAAGCACTTCACAAGATAAATATTTCATCTTTCTCTCCTACAGGAAGCACACACACATACACATGCACGCATGCACACACGCACGCACAGACACAAGGCTGGAAACTAGAAGGGGGTTATGGGGAAAGGGACCAGTGAGAAATCTCAGCGGGACCAGAGAGGGCAATGAGGGGCGGGGCTAACTATGTCAAAGCCCCTGACTTATTTTCTCTCTCATTACCCTAGACCCAGATACTCCCTCTTCCCCCACCCTCATCCACTGTCAAAGCATTTGCCCCCATCTCTGCTTGCCCTCTCCACAACCGCCCCAATTTCCATCCTCACAACATGATAACAATGGCATAAAAACCAGTGATGAAGTCATTCTTCCCTTGCTCAAGGACCTCCAGTGGCTTTGTAAGGTGACAAGTGTGGGTTTCTCACACTCGGCCCCTGCCTGAGCACTGGGCTCCCTCTGCTTCAGCCCCATGGCCCTTTCTTTTTTTATTTTTTATTACTTTATAAATAATACCATTCAAAATTTCCACTTCTTTCCCTCCTCCCATTACCCCCCACCCCCCGCTCCCTCACTCCCCCCCTCTCCCTCCCTCTCCAGTCCTAAGAGAGGGCAGGGTACCCTGCCCTGTGGGAAGGCCCTCCCCCCTCCATCCAGGTCTAGGAAGGTAAGCATCCAAATAGACTAGGATCCCAAAAGGCCAGTACATGCAGTAGAGACAAATCCCAGTGTCATTATCATTGGCTTCTCAGTCTGCCCCAATTGTCAGCCATATTCAGAGGGTCCAGTTTGATCCCATGCTCCTTCAGTTCCAGTCCAGCTGGATTTGGTGAGCTCCCATTAAATCAGGCACATTGTCTCAGTGGGTGGACCAGTCCCTCACGGTCCTGACTTCCTTGGTCATCTTCTCTCTCCTTCTGCTCTTCAGCTGGACCTTGGGAGCTCAGTCCAGTGCTCTGATGTGGGTCTCTGTCTCTATCTCCATCCATCACCGGATGAAGGTTCTATGGTGATATTCAAGATAGTCATCAGTCTGATTATGGGACAAGGCCAGTTCAGGTATCCTCTCCTCCACTGCCCTAGGTCTTAGATGGGGACATCCCCGTGGATACCTGGGAACCCCTCTAGAGCCAAACCTCTTGCCAACCCCAAAATGGCTTCCATATCCGTCCTTCCTCCCTCTCAACCATCCCACTCCCCCAAGCTCTCCCCAACTTACCCCTTCTTCCTTCTCTCTCCCTGTCTCCCCTTCCCCCCCCACCCCCACCCCCACCCCCACCCCCAGGCTCCCAACTTTTGCCTGGCGATCCCTATTGATCTTTCTGTGTTCCTGTGGTACCTAACTCAGCAACCTCAGGACCTTTATACTCCATGGCTCCTCTTCATTGGCGGGCAGCTCCTGAAAGATTCTCTTGGTTGACAGTATACCTGCCCTGTTATCCTCCACCACGTTTGGCTGCCTGGATATTCTTGTCGCTGATGAACTGAGGCATGATGCTTGAGGTGATGCTTGAGATGATGCTTGAGGTTTTAGCCAGACCTTGAGCCAGCTCTGCTACAGGAAGAAATGAGGTGAGAGGTGAACTGGCCCAGGCTTCCCTTCCAACCTCTTCCCCATGAGTTGGCATGACTTCAGTCACAGCCCTGGGCCACAGCCATCACTCTTTGTCATTACCCAGTCTAGCCAGCCCAGCCCAATGGCAGGCAGGCAGATAACCCAAGAGTAGAGACAGGAGAGTCAGGGAGTTCCTGGTCACCCTCTGCCTGGTTGTCTTTCTCTTACTCCCCAGAGGGGACAGAATAGCAGGATTCTGTCACAACTTGGCTCCTAGACAGTTACACTACCTGAGGGGATCAGAATTCCGGGGGCAGAAAGGCAAGAGACAGACAAATGTTCAGACTCCAGTGAAGGCCTCTAACTAGTTACCCCCTTGTGGTCCTGGTCGCTTCCATTTCTTCCAACACAGCGAGAGTAGATCTGGGCTGCAGGGAGAACTTGCTGATCCTCCAGAGGCCCCGAGTTCGGATCCCAGCAGCCACATCAGAGGCTAACAACCGCCTGTGTCTCCAGCTCTAAGGGACTCCACAGTCTCTGTGGCAGAGCTAGCAGACACTCACAGATGCAGACACGCATAAGTAGAAATGCTTTACAAATCTTAAGAGGAGCTGAACAATAAATTGTTTTCTAAGAAATCATTGTATTTCAATATTTTTTATTATTTTAACACACATATATATGTAATAAAACAGTTCTCTGGAGCTGGAGTTGTGAGCTGCCAAATGCCAGTGCAAGGGCCCAACCTCTAGTCCTCTGGAAGACAAGTGTGTTTAAGTCCTACACTATCTCTGAATACTGCTCCACTGTGCATATGAATCCTATCTTCTTTATCCATACCTCTATCAAGGAAGACCTACGGGAATGTGTAGGGGTTTCCAAAAGACTTATTACAAGTGCTTCTGTTCCCCCCCCCCCTCTCTCTCTCTCTCTGTGTGTATGTGTGTGTGTATGTGTGTGTGTATGTGTGTGTGTGTATGTGTGTGTATGTATGTGTGTGTATGTGTGTGTATGTGTGTGTGTATGTATGTGTGTGTATGTGTGTGTATGTATGTGTGTGTATGTATGTGTGTATGTATGTATGTGTGTGTATGTGTGTGTGTATGTGTGTGTGTATGTGTGTGTGTATGTGTGTGTGTGTATGTGTGTGTGTACGTGTATGTGTGTGTGTGTATGTATGTGTGTGTGTGTGTGTGTGTAGATGTGGAGGTCAGAAGATAAACTGGGAGTCCGTTGTCTCCCTCTACCATGTGTGAGTCTTGGCAGGAAGCCTCCTTATCTGCTGAGCCCTCAGAGGGAATTTCCCACTAGCCCTCATGGTGGAAGTCGGAGGAAGCTACTAGCTCACACTTCGCCATGGCCTCTTAGACTAGGGTCAACAAATGCTTCTTGCTGACAGGTTGTTGACAAGGACTTTACTAACGGATTCTGGGAATTTGTCTGAATCCTTCTGCTAGAATTTTTCTGTTTACCTGAAGGACATTTCTGTGAAAGACAGGTTAGGCACACGAAGCCACAGAACTGGGACTTTGTTAGGCTGCCATGAACAGGTGACCTTTACCTAACAATATTTGTTCTTGCAGCAGAATTCTGCCTAACCCTTGACTTTATTCCCAGGAGGAAGCCAGGTTGTGGGAAGAGGAAATGCTTCATCTCAATTCAGTCTCAATAGCAGGGGTCACCAAAACCAGCTTAGTTTCCGGAATATTCCTGCTATGTTTCTCATCTGGGAAAGTCCATTAAAGCACTCACTGGTTGAACTGTTTTTACTGACTTTTTGTTTTGATTCGTGGGCTCTGTGGGAAGCTTTTTTTTTTTTTCATTTTGAGCTCTAGGCAGAGCCAAGAGGCCGGTGGACTACACAGCTCTGTGACTAACTCCCAGGCACATTCTCAGCAGGTTGGTTCATTTCCTCCACTCGTTCTCCCATGTGGAGTAACACAGTCAGAGAAATAAATATTCCCCCACTTATAGATCCTAGTTCTCTAACCCGCACTGCCTAATGCTTTTCTTTACCCTTACTTTTTCACTAAGAGCATTGAACCCAGGACCCAGGACCCCATGAGTGCTGGGCAAACGCTCACCTCCAGGCCTCTTTTCTAAGTGCTAGTGTGTGAGAGACAGGATCTCACTCTGTGGCCCTAACTGACCTGGAACTAGCTTGGTAGACCAGGCTGGTTTTGAACTCACAGAGATCCCCCTGTCTCTGACTCTCTAGTGTTGGCATTAAAGGCGTGCATCACCATACCTATCTAATATTTTTTTTTGCAAGCAAACCTGAGGACACTTGGCTCTTGTGGAGGACTGTCTTTATTCATTTTATTGTGTGGTTCTGGAGATTAAATCCAGGGCTTCCTGTAAATCAGGCAGGTGTCTCCCCGGACTTTTACCCTGAAGCCCAGCCTGTGTGTTTTCAGGCAGTGGCCACTGGAGAGGTTCAATATGAATGTGGTGTAGCTGCTCACCGGGCTGCTGCTCTTCAGGTGGAACGGAAGCCAATGTCAGACCCGGCTGCACACATGCAGACATTCATCTGTGCAGGTCTGTGTGCTGTGCTTTGAACAGGAAATGGCCCCAAGGGCTCATGTGCCGGAATATGTACTACTCAGCAGGGGACGGTGGAGAACCCGGGGCAGTCAGAGCCTGCACGCTCACTGGTGGTGGCATCTAAGCTTCTGTCACCTGGTCCCACTTCTCTCTCTCTTTCTCTGCTTCCTGTGTGCAGATGACATGATCAGTCTGCTTCTTGACTGCCAGGCTGGCCTTAGCTTCTGCTGATGGTCTTCCTCACACGAGTGGACGTCACATCCCATGGGATTATATGCTAGGATAAATGCTTCTCCCCAGAGCTTCTGGTGGCCAGAGGTTTGTGCCACAGTGACAGAAAATGGGGAGTGCAGATGGTTTGTGTAGCTTTGTTCTGAAAAGACTGATGACGCCCATGCTTTCCAGCAAAAGATGCTTATTCTGTTGTTATTCAGTGAGACAGAGTTTCACACTAGCCCAATGGGCTGATTTTAGATGACTATGTATCCAAGGCTGGCTTTGAACTCATCACAATCCTAACTCAACCCTCCTGAGGACTGAGATTCCAGGTGTGTGTCACCACCTCCAGCTCTGTCTTACATGAAGGGTCCATTTCTTCTACAGTGTGTACCAGGCAACCAGGAATCCTTTTCCTTAGAGCAGGATTAATACAAACACCCAATAGTT